GAATGATGACATGCTCTGTTGCATTGGTGCAAATTGGAGTCGCATCTGGTTCTCTCCCGATGGTTTTCACAAGTTGCTGCCCTGTCTCTGTAGTCAATTCATTAATGAAATATAATCCATGAGTTGGCACATGCTGTATTTATGCATTTGTAAAATTAAAATTAAATTGTTCCTGTACAGTACCTTTCCTGTCGACAGAAACAGTGAGCCGCAGGAGCAGAACAAACCAAAGTTTCCATTGACCCATGCTGGTCAACACATCTAAGCAACAGTGCAACAGCTGCTGGCAGCGTACAGTATCATGTACTGTAGGAAGGAGCTCACACAAACACTTTTGCACCATTCTCTGACGACCTAAACCTCAAACTCAGTTCTCGCAGAGGTACAAGCTGGTGTGAGGTCCTCTAGAACGGAAGTGTAAGACATGAACACCTCTGCTTTCATACTAGGACCCTCGAAGATGAAACACTAGAGCTGTGTTTGAGCAAAAGTAACGTTGATGAAAATAAGTTGTACAGCATGCAGAGCCCAATCAGAGGCCTTTACTGTGATACACAATGTCCATAAAATGAGGAAATTAGAAGAGTATTATATTCATGACAAGGAAGTAAAAGTAGAACAGCTTTCTTACCATGTGTGCTACTCCTCTCTTACCAACCCACAACAAATGACTTGTGAGCGCTCATGTCACAAGAATAGACGGTCGCGTGACTACAACGTTGGTCGAGCGATGGTTAAAAAAGCTGTGCATTAACAGTATAAAGTTAGGTTTAATCACCTTGAGCAACACACTTTGGACGACCTGACACATTATACTTGCTGGATTTTCAGGCACTTCTGTATGATAAAGGGTCGAGTTGGTTATATTGAAGCATTCAGAAAAGTCACACACTGCTCAGCAGGTGCAAAATCACAAGTTCACACTACAAAACTATATATCTGACGAGAACATGAGAACATTTCTGGTAAGTGACAAAAACACACCTCACTTCATGCAAGTGGATTAACTTTGCTCAGATGGAGACTGTTAAGTACTACAGGCTTTTGGGATATTTACTCTTCAATCAGCATACAGTGGTAGTGATTGAACTTTATTTTGAAATGCCATTAATTAATTATTCATAATCAACATTATACAAATCACCGTCCAAAATCCTAAAACTTCTTCTTCTTCATAATTGTGAGAATCAGAAAGGCCTCAACTCAAAACGTGTTAAAAAAAAAGGATAGTCCCACAAGAGGAGTTGTATTTTACAAACTTTATTGTATTTCTTGAGTTATCAACCTCCACAATACTTTTACACAGAACATTTATGTACAAAGTAGCCATACCCTGCAACAGCTTTAAAAAATTGGAGGTGTTGATGCTAATTATTATTGGTCAAAGCTGATGTAATAATAAGCTAGTATTTTAAAGAATATAACTGTCAGCCTTTGGTTATGAATCAGATGCAGTGAAGTGCAAACACATCACAGTCCAAATGCTGTTATCGTGTTATGTTGATTTTTAGTCTTAAATATCGTCATATATTTTGCAAATTGGATCAGTCTCTCCTCCATCTACTTCCTGGTTATCCAGGCAGAAAGTATTGTTGGCTGAGTTTGAGACACTTTGGTAGACCTCACTCCCTGGCTGCTGAAGGCTTGTGTAGGGGTCATCTGGGTCATCTCGATCCTATACAAAAATAAAATATAAGTCACAATGCATCATGTTGTTAAACTAAATCGTGTTAAACAATGGAAGAGACACTGTCACTCCTTCTGAGTCACTACATTAACTGAAACCTCATCTTTGCAATAAGTGGTTAAAGGCAATGAATCTGAGAGTTAAAAAAAATATTTTAAAGGTACATAATATAAGAATACATTACTCACCAAAGAGCCAGGAGTTTCCGATAATCCAGATGTGGCTGATCTTGAACAGCATCTTTATTTAAAAAAAAAAAAAAAAAAAAAGTGTTAGTGAAACACCAAATACAAACACACACACACACACACACAGAAAAGGGGACTCAATGCTTGTCGCCTGGAAATCTTCTTGATATTACTGTCTTCTCTCACCCATGATGAATTATTTTGCAGATAAATACGAAGAAAACTCCAGTTACAATGATGACTGTAGTTATATCGATCAGAACACTTGGAATCTGCATGTGCGTAGAACGGCTGGTGTCTTCGTCCTCTACACAATGTAAAGAAAAAAATGTCAGAAAATGACAATGATATTTGTTCTATTTGTAAAGAATTCATATTAGAAGTGCCATTGCCATTAGAAGTTCTTCATATTGTTCACGATGCAGTGAAAAAAATACTATCTCAAACTAAGCCAGTGCTAAGGTTGTACTAAGTAGGAGAGAAATGCAGAAAATTTGAAACAAAAAACCAAGAAAATAAATCAAACCTTTTCCTTCCACGGTGATATTCATACAGAGAGTATCTGTTCCACCAGTATGTGAACACTGGCAGGTGTAGTTCCCACTATCTTCTGGTGTTAAACTGGTCACATGGAGAAACACAGTCTGATTCTTTTCCAGAAGAGTGAATCTGGAGTCACATTCATGCACAGAGTCCTCTCCATGTCGATACAGCAGACGACACTCCTCTCCGCTTCTTTCTGTTCTGATCCAACACACTATAAGAATGATGACATGCTCTGTTGCATTGGTGCAAATTGGAGTCACATCTGGTTCTCTCCCGATGGTTTTCACAAGTTGCTGCCCCTTCTCTGCAATCAATTCATGAATGAAATACAACAAATGAGTTGGCACATGCTGTATTTATGCATTTGTAAAATAAAACTTAAAGTAGTTCCTGTACAGTACCTTTGCTGTCGACAGAAACAGTGAGCTGCAGGAGCAAAACAAACCAAAGTTTCCACTGACCCATGCTGGTCAACACTCTAAGCAACAGCAAGAGTTTGCAGTCTACAACATCATCGGAGGAGCACACACAAACACTTTTGCACCATTCTCTGGTGACCATAAACCTCAAACTCAGTTCTCACAGAGGTACGAGCTGGTGTGGGGTCCTCTAAAACGGAAGTGTAAGACATGAACGCCTCCGCTTTCATGTTAGGATGCTCGAACGTGTGAACGAATATGGACTGGGTGCATTTGTCTGCGGATAGAGTGTTTTAATACTTTCACAGTATTTATATCACACCTACACTTCCTTAATGATAAAAAAAACAAAGCCTAGCATTATGGCTTTGCAGTTGGTTGCCTCAAGCCGAACCAGTCAAGTTGCAGTTACAGTTTACATCCATGTCTATGAAAACACGGACGTTTCACACACATATTCAGCACAGAAGAGTATGTGTCAGTATGTGACCAAATGATTCCCCTTCTCTTCCTGAGATATGATGTTGAATAACAGCCAGAAAGTGTTATTGCAGAACATTATGATGTCACAGTGAAGCTGACCTTTGACCTTTTGTATTTTTATTTTATTTATTTACCTTTATTTGTTATAGAGGGACAATGTACATGAATAAACATTTTAAAAATCAAATGTAAATGCACCCAATTATAGCCAAAAGGCTAATTTCCATCGGCAGTGCCCCCCTGCCAGAAGGAACACGGCTAAGTGACCTGGTAATAAAAGCAACAAATTACAGTAAAAAGAAATACATGTTATAGGTACAATTGGCAACAAGGTACAATATTTGGAAAAACAGCATCATTACAAATAAATATAATATTACTCTCTTATGCTTTTTATATATCATCCCTTTATTACTTTATCATTTTAGACATTTGAGTGAGATTTTTTAAATTATAATTAGTTTATGAATTATTGAGTTGTGGCCAAAAACATATTTTATGAGGTCATGGTGAACTTGACCTTCGACCGCCAAATTTGTAAGAATTCATTCTTGAGTCTAAGTGGACGTTTGTGCCAAAGTTGAGTAAACCCTCTCAGAGCCTTCTTGAGATATTGCATTCATGAGAATGAGATAGACGCAAGTTCACAGTGACCTTGACCTTTGACCACCAGATTCTAATCAGTGTATTGTTGAGTCCAAGTGGACGCTTTTGCCAAATTTGAAGAAATTTCCTCAAGGCATTCTTGAGACGGACTGACAACCTGAAAACATAATACCTCCACCCAAGGCTATCGCTGGAATGGAGGCATAAAATAAAAAAATTAAAAAAGCAAAAGAAATATTAAAATACATGAGCTTTAATGCTGCAGCTGGTAAATGCGGAGCTAATTGTATGTTATCTTATTTTATCCTATAATAACACATCATATTTTATAGTATTAATCTAAACATCCAAATAAATGTAGTGGAGTAAAAAGTACAATATTTGCCTCTGAAATGTAGTGGAGAAGTATGAAGTAGCAGAAAATGGAAATACTCAATGAAAGTTAATATTTGAGTAAATGTACTTAGTTGGATCCACACACATTTAAGGGTTTTAAAATTATTATATATTATATATATATTATATCAGCCAACATTAGGGAGGCGTGACCGTCCTGTGCCACCTGCTGTCCGTCAGATCAGCTGATAAAGACACGTCTCAACCACCACCAAGTGACACTTCTGAGGAAGGTGGAAGTTTCCACTGAAATATGTCAAGGTATGTAACATCCTAACATGTCTGAGATAAAAGAACTGAAGTTATTATCAGAAACTAAAGACATAATGAACACCATTGAACTATTATGTTATGAATGTTTGAGATGCAACATAAGTAGCTCTGAATTTTCAGTGATTCATAATTTATAACCATGTTACTGTACATGTATATAATGGTAATACGACCCAAACTCTTCTCTCTGTGAGGTGTAGCTGCACATGACTAATAATGTGCTGTACAGAAGGAATTATGTGATACAGCAACACTGTATAGTATTTTTGTGACTTCTCCAACAGTTTGATTATAAAAACATCTTATCTTGACTTTGGGTTTACATGTTTTCATAGATTTCCTGTTCCAAATGCAAAGTCACTATTTTGCTGCTGGCGGAAGTCCTCTTCTTGTCATGTTGATGGTGCACTGGGGACATAGTCTCGTAGAGGCCGCTTCCTGACTGCTCAAGGCTTGTGTAGGGATCATCTCGCTCATCTTTGTCCTAAAACAACATATCAGAATTTATAATAAGGCACCCTAAAAAACAGTCTTAAGTTATAAATGTTAGTAAGTCATTATTAAGGGCCTTCTGTTTCTTAAGCTGTTAACTACAGTTGGTTATAATGTTGTGAAAGATCTATTAGAAAGTGGTACTTGAAGGGAAAGTTTGGATTTTTTGAAGTAGGGCTGTATGAGGTACTTAACCATCGCCTGTGTACAGTGTATTACCTAGAGCAGTGGCTCTCAAATGGTGTGCCGCCGGATTTTGTGATAACCACACATTATTACTGCAACATTCATTTAATTAAATTAAATTCAGAAAACCTTCAGAAAGCCATAAGTGGGACAATGAATCGCCGTATTGTATGGAGCAAGTTATAACAAAGCACGAGCGAAGATGACCTACCGCCAAAGGGAAAAAGACAGTATCACAAAAGCTACCTGTCATATTTTTTCTTATCTTTATTGTCTATGTTGTGATAAGAGTGATAACACATGTTACAGAAGCTGTTGTGCACAGACCTAGAGTAGAGCAGGTCAGCCTAGTTTGGAGAAGCAGATAGGAGTACTGCCACAGAAGCTAAGCAGTGTACTACTGTGGATGGGGGCAACAGGGATATGTATTTTAGCTCCCTAAAAAAATAATCTATCAGCCTAAGTGTAAGTGTATGCTATATTAAGAATAATTGAACAGCTTTACCTTGCCGTCAGACTGCCCTTTCCAACGGGGAACTGAAGCTGTTACATCGCTGTCCTCAAAGCCACCAGACTCCATTGACAAAAACAGTAATTTTGCCTCTCTGAACACAGGAGCTGCTGGTTTACCACTGCATTGATTGGTAAGTTTGGTTGTGTTATTGTGTGACTTTGGTGAATACGAACTAACCCTTTAAAACACCAAAGTCACAAAATACACTAACTAACTAACTAACTAACTAACTAACTAACAGAGGCAACGGTAGAAAAGCAGCTCTGGTCTCCTGTGAGATAAAATTACTGTTTTTGTCAATGGAATCTGGCTTTGAAGAGAGCTTAGATAAGTTTCACTTTCAATTCAGTTACCTGTCATAAATCACTGTCTGACGGCAAGGTAAAGCAGTGAAAATATTCTGAATATAATGTTCACTTAAACTGATATTATTTTTTTTAGGCGGCTAAAGTCTGTTTTGCTGCTGCCCCTGTCCAAAGCAGTATATTGCTTAGCTTCCATGGTGATACTCCTGTCTGCCTCTCCAAACTGGGGGCATGCTGACTGACATGTACTATATATAATACACTGACTATGGATAAGTACCTCATACAACCCCACTTCTATCCCTTTAAAATCCTAACATATCATGTTACATTAGTTGAAATAAATGAGGCTGAAAAAAGGTCGAGACTTTGCACCTAACAAGGAAACCACAGTCTTTCGAAACCTGTGACTCACCTGACCTGGCACTCACACCACTAACCCTCAACACCTACATCTACAGTATGCCTCCTTTCCTGAACATGACACCCATTAAATAGCAGAAAACTACCTAATCATAACCACAGTTTGTGTCTCTCAGCAGTGGACTCAGGCCGTTTAAGGGCGCAGGTCAAATAAAAATAAAAAGGGCACCAGCTGCATGCCGTGGGGCACCAACATGTAGAAAGTTTTCTAGCATGTAGGGCAGCCTATGGCATTGCATGTTTTCTCAAGCATTACCATTAGCAAGCCTGATAAACGCTGGTGGAAAAATAATGTTCAGAGGCAGTAAACACAAAACATGCATAACTGTGCTGTACTCAGAGCTTAAAAAATAAACTATAATAATGTACAGTACAGGCCAAAAGTTTGGACACACCTTCTCATTCAATGCGTTTTCTTTATTTTCATGACTATTTACATTGTAGATTCTCACTGAAGGCATCAAAACTATGAATGAACACATGTGGAGTTATGTACTTAACAGAAAAAGGTGAAATAACTGAAAACATGTTTTATATTCTAGTTTCTTCAAAATAGCCACCCTTTGCTCTGATTACTGCTTTGCACACTCTTGGCATTCTCTCGATAAGCTTCAAGAGGTAGTCACCTGAAATGGTTTCCACTTCACAGGTGTGCCTTATCAGGGTTAATTAGTGGAATTTCTTGCTTTATCAATGGGGTTGGGACCATCAGTTGTGTTGTGCAGAAGTCAGGTTAATACACAGCCGACAGCCCTATTGGACAACTGTTAAAATTCATATTATGGCAAGAACCAATCAGCTAACTAAAGAAAAACGAGTGGCCATCATTACTTTAAGAAATGAAGGTCAGTCAGTCCGGAAAATTGCAAAAACTTTAAATGTGTCCCCAAGTGGAGTCGCAAAAACCATCAAGCGCTACAACGAAACTGGCACACATGAGGACCGACCCAGGAAAGGAAGGCCAAGAGTCACCTCTGCTTCTGAGGATAAGTTCATCCGAGTCACCAGCCTCAGAAATCGCAAGTTAACAGCAGCTCAGATCAGAGACTGACTGACCTTCATTTCTTAAAGTAATGCAATATGAACACCTTATATCACGTGTGAAAATTGTCGTCACACCACTGAATTGAGGTGGTTTATAATGGTGTGACAGCCAAAAAACAAAGCAAAATTTGTGGCCATTTAAGAGGAGTGAGAAGTCAGCAGTCAACTATGAATAACCACAAGAGGTCGTTGAACATACAGCCATACATGTGCACACAAAATATTAAGCTGATTGTTCCAGTAGTTTGTGAGAGTATCTGCAGGAAGACACACACACACACACACACACACACACACACACACACACACTAGCTACTTACTAAGTTAATAGTTGAAAAACAAAAGAATACATTGCTCACCACAGAGACGGGGGTTTCACAGACGGATGATCCTGACCGTGAATTGTATCTGAAAATAAGAAGTGACTTATTATGTTTTCCTACAAATATTACCACTGCTATGAAACTGCTGAGTATCCTAAATTACAGTGCAAAACACCAACTACCTACTGCACATTTAAAGTATTCACCTGCAATAACACTTTCTGAGAGTGAGCCCGAGGACGACTCCAGTGACGGTGATTAATCCAGCAGCACAACAAATCACAGCGGTATAAATTGTTATAGAAGTGCTGCCCTCTTCTTCTCCTAAAAAAAACCCCCAAGAAAACACTAGATCATTTCAGATTACATTATATTTAGCAATAAATAGTTATAATAAATATATATATACAGTCAGGTCCATAATTATTTGGACAATGATACAGTTGTCGTCATTTTGGCTGTGTACACCACCACAATGGGTTTTTAATGAAACAATGAATACCTGCTTAAAGTGCAGACTCTCAGCTTTCATTTAAGACTTTTTTCAAAAATGTAGTATGAACCGTGAAGGAATTACAACCATTTCTTCACACAGTCCCCCCAACTTTAAGGGCTCATAAGTATTTGGACAAATTAACATAATCATCAATTAAACAGTCAGTTTTAATACTTGGTTGCAAATCCTTTGCAGTCAATGACTGCCTGAAGTGTTGGACACATAGACATCACCAGATGCTGGGTTTCTTCCCTGGTGATGCTCTGCCAGCCCTTTACTGCAGCCGTCTGCACTTCCTGCTTGTGTTTTGGGTGTTTTGCCCTCAGTTTTGGCTTCAGCAAGAGAAACGCATGCTCAATTGGATTCAGATCAGATGATATGACTTGACCATCACAGAACATTCCTTTTCTTTGTCTTAAAAATGTCTTTGGTTGCTTTTGCAGTATGCTTCAGGTCAATGTCCATCTGCACTGTGAAGCATCGTCCAGTGAGTTTTGAAGCATTTGGTTGAATCTGAGCAGATAATGTAGGCCCAAACACTTCAGCTTTCATCCTGCTGCTCTTGTCAGCAAGAGAAGACTTCACTAGAATAAATACAGAGGGTTTATCACAAGATGTAAACCATTGGTTAGCCTTGAAAATGGAAGGCCATATTAGAGTTTGTCAAAAACCATCTAAAAAGCCTGTACAGTTGTGGAACAGCATACTATGGACAGATAAAACAAAGATCAACTACCAGAATGATGGGAAGATAAGAGAAGGAAGAAGGGAAGGAACTGCTCATGATCCAAAGCACACCACCTCATCAGTGAAGCATGGTGGAGGTACTGTTATGTCATGGCCATGTATGGCTGCCAGTGGAACTGGTTCCCTTGTATTTATTGATGATGTGACTGCTGACAAGAGCAGCAGGATGAAAGCTGAAGTGTTTGGGGCTACATTATCTGCTCAGATTCAACCAAATGCTTCAAAACTCATTGGACGATGCTTCACAGTGCAGATGGACATTGACCTGAAGCATACTGCAAAAGCGACCAAAGACATTTTTAAGACAAAGAAAAGGAATGTTCTGTAATGGCCAAGTCATATCATCTGACCTGAATCCAATTGAGCATGCGTTTCTCTTGCTGAAGCCAAAACTGAGGGCAAAACACCCAAAACACAAGCAGGAAGTGCAGACGGCTACAGTAAAGGGCTGGTAGAGCTTCATCAGGGAAGAAGCCCAGCATCTGGTGATGTCTATGTGTCCAACACTTCAGGCAGTCATTGACTGTAAAGGATTTGCAACCAAGTATTAAAACTGACTGTTTAATTGATGATTATGTTAATTTGTCCAAATACTTATGAGCCCTTAAAGTCGGGGGACTGTGTGAAGAAATGGTTGTAATTCCTACACGGTTCATACTACATTTTTGAAAAAAGCCTTAAATGAAAGCTGAGAGTCTGCACTTTAAGCAGGTATTCATTGTTTCATTTAAAACCCATTGTGGTGGTGTACAGAGCCAAAATGATGACAACTGTATCATTGTCCAAATAATTATGGACCTGACTGTATGTTAAAATCTCATCTGACACCTGACATATATGATCAACGGTCATACCAAAATAGACATTAGTACTGATGCTAAGGTCTGACTTATTCTAAGCAGAGGCATCATGAAATGAATCATAACTGTTGTGAGAGAGCTGCAAGGTTTCAAATGCAATTTACCTTCCACAGTGACACTGAGGTGAATTTTATCTGTTCCGTGAGCATGTGAACACTCACAGGTGTAGTCACCACTATCCACTGGTGTTAAATTGGTCAGGTGAAGAAACACAGTGTGATTCTCTTCTGTAAGTGTGAACCTGGAGTCACATTCATGCACAAAGTCCCCTCCAAATCGATACAGCAGACGACACTCCTCTCCCCTGCTCATCTCTGTGCTGATCCTACACACTATGAGTGTGATGGTGCTCAGTGTTGCATTGCTGCATAGCAGGGTGACATCTGGTTCTCTCCTAATGGTTTTCACAACCGTTTCTGCAATCATAGGGAGTGAGAGACTGCACCTGAATGAGAAAGACAATTAGGACAGATTAATAAAACTCTCTTGTACTTTACCTTCGGAGTCAAAACACAAACGCAGTGGCAGGAACAGAAGAAACTGCAGTTTCCATTCAGTCATAATGGCAAAGTGGTCTGAATAACAGTTCTGCTGTCAGTGTACAGTCAACTATTCTGAGAGGAGGAGGCTAACATTTAGAAAGGAACTGAGGTGACTTAAGATAAAAGGAAGTGCAACAAAACTGCTCCTACTTTCTAGTTTAGACTGTCTGGGGGAGTTTTGAACACTGGTTTCTATGAAAAGCAAGAATTTCTGGTAAAGCATCATTCAAAAGGAAAATATAAATATATGTGTGCACATAAAACCAGTAGCATTATAGAGCATGTATGGGAGGGGAAACTTACCCAGTCTGAGGTCTTTGATTCTTCAAAACTAGATGTCAAGTCCAGGCAATTCAACGACTTAAAAGAACTTGTTTTAAGATGTCAAATGACTTAAAATTGGTTTGAATGAAGACTTGACACTGGTCAAAATTACATATATGACATGTGATGAGGCTAGACAGTTATTTTAAGGAAGTTAATAGTCTGATAGATACACTAAATTAGATCGACTTTATCATCCCTGAGAGGTAAATTTGTTGCATGGTGACTTTGGCACATCATCGGTATCAACAGAAAAACGCCTTCAATTAAATATTGGCCTCAGCCCGAAATTAACATTATTACCGATATGATAGGTTGATAAGACAACATTCTAATTATGTGACTTTCATTAGTTGAGATAAGCCGAGTTTGGTTGTGGTTATTGTGGGATTGTCTCAGAGAGAGCATCATCCAAGCCTAAAAATGAATATGGCATGTTCTACATGTAACCTAAGTTGGAGACATTTTCTTACTCTGCCCAGTGTATCTGCATTTTTTGAACGAATTATATGTTATGCCTGCATCTGTCAGTGGGCCAACAGGATGTCGGAGTATTGTTCCGCTACTTAAATGGCACATTATTCAGAGAGTGAGATGCACCTACATAGGTGGGCTCACAACGTGCATGGATTCTGCTTATTACACACACAGGGATCCACAGATTGGTTGCAGGTGGGTAAAATAATACATTTTCGATGAGGAAAATATTTATTACATTCTCTAAAATATGAAGATAGCAGAGATCAGAGCAGAGCTGCAGAGCTGCTGTTCAGCTCCCCATGAACAGTGAGGTGTGCGAATTTATGCACGAGGAGCATTGATTGATAATTTTAGAAGCTAAAAGTATAAATGTATTTCCTCTGTCAAGTTTATAACCACAGTTTTTAGTTTGGCTGCTTAAAACATCACACAATATTTGCTGCAGTGACATCACTGCTCTAACCGCATTACTCTCAGCAAGAAACCACTCACCTCTCCAATTTGCCAAATAGTGATGGCACGTAGATAGCAGTGCGCCAGCTGCAGGCTTGCAGTACCTGCCTTTTCAAGGTACATACACAGGATTCATCAAGGGACAAAATACAACCCCTTACCCCCCAAGCTAATGTCTTCCATACCTCTGGTGTGTAAATGCATTCATGTACACCCAGAGGTACCCACATCAAACATCCAAGTAACATGACAAATTCAAGACATGTAAACTTCCAGGAGTCAAGAATTTATGTTGCAGGCCACATTTTGAAATATGAGAAACAAACTTTGAATACAAGCATATTCACAGGCAAAGATGTAATGCAAATGGCTGCACAGACCCAAAAATTTTGACTAAAACTCCCTCAGCTGCACGAGTTCCATTTGATGTGCCTTCAACTGCGCTGTTTGGGGGTGGCTGAGCCAGGCAGAGTGAAGGATAGGTCTGAAGCTCTTTCCATCCACACTGCCAGCAAGAAAATTGCTGCTACAATTTTGGAAATCTGCTCCCAGCATTTGATATGTGACTGAAGGAAAAAGGAAATCATTTATATTTGGAGAAATGTAAACTCTGGCAACTGGTTGTTAGCCTGACTGGAAAATTAAAGTGAATGACTAGGTTAACTAATGGTTGTTTGTCTCTATGTGTCAGCCCTGCGATAGTCTGGCGGCCTGTCCAGGGTGTACCCTGCCTCTCGCCCAATGTCAGCTGGGATAGGCTCCAGCCCCCCGCGACCCTCAAGAGGATGAAGCGGTTAGAAGATGAATGAATGAATGAATGAATGCATGACTAGGTTAACTGTGTCAATGTGTCATGTCTTTTGCTGTTGTTTTTTCCTGTGCATTTGCTGTTGGAGTGTTTATTTCACTGTATTTCTACACTGATCTTCAAAATTAATGTTTAACATTAAAGAAAAATCCATTTTAAATCAACATTGTGAGCACCAGTGTTTTAGTTTTTAGCTGTGGTCCAGTGAAAATGGCCGGTTGAATAGTGGATGAACAGAGTGAAGCCCCACAAAGCTATCAGGCCCATCACCAGGACACTAAAAACCTTCTGGGTCCAAAGGCAGTGATCCAACTTCCGCTCCAGTCGACTGCTGCTGGCCACCACCTGCAGGAGCTGAGGGCAGCAGACGAGACGTAGATTTCAATATACAGTCACGTCTTTTCAGAAGTGTGTTCAAAACAGTGGAAAATTCACATTGTCCTTGTGGTGTGTGGTGATGGTATTGCACAAAGTCCCCCTGAAGATGTTAGTATTTTGTTTGACATGGCTTTCCCACATAAAAAATCTAAATCTAAATCTGGCCTCTAAGTCTGTTCCCCCTGTCAATATGTGTTTTTCCTGTTGGACAGCGATTGGTTTTCGTATTAGTGACGTACCTAATCTAGCTTGCCTGGCATACCTTTGATTCTCAGATTTAAGGAAAGTGCACAGACATCGCCCCTTTCAGTAGAGAAATTTGAATACGCCTCTCTAGTGAAAACTTTGCACAGATACAAGACAGCATAGTCAGGATCAGTCATTTTAGGGCAGCAGTTCCTAACTGGTCCAGCCACGGGGTCCAGATGTTTCCTCAGCCAGATCTGGCCCATGAGCCGAAAGCTAAGCAACATCTGCTGTACATTATATATCCAAAACAATAAAGCTGTTACAGTGGCACACAACCAACCGCAGCATGAATCCTTTGATGGTCGCTGATGGTCGCTGGTGTGTTGTGGTTGCTGGTCGTCAGTCTGAGGACGGGCTTTACATCCTGCAGGATGTGACACATCAGTCTGAAAAGGAAAAATAAAGATTAATTTATTTCTTCATAAAATTTTAAATAATATTTAACATTCTGCTGTGTTAAACAGCTATCATCAGTCTGACCTTTGCATTTGGGGGATCTCCTCAAAGAACTGGGCCAGGTCCTGGTTGCCATCAGGGTAACCAAGCTCCACTTCAGCAGTCATGATTGGCTTTAACTGACACTGCACAAATTAAATATGAGTATTAAATATTAAAAAAAAAATCATCAAATCAACAAATTCAAGCTGAATGTTGTTGTGGTGCAGACCTACCTTCACACAGCAACACCGTGATCTCCACAGAGGTTACGGCTGCACAGCCGCTGCTTCCGGGCTTTGTCTTGTTACACTCTGAAAGCTGATGTTCTCACATGACACCACATGGAGTACTGTCTGCTGAGACAACAAACACAGGTGCAGGTCAAAGTACTTCACTGTGTAGAATAATTTAATCAAGTCATACTCCACCCATTAGCCCCAGTGTTCTTATGAAGAGTAACAGCCCCTTAACCTATGCTTTTGTCTGTGCAGTGATACGGTTGGTGGGTGTAGTCTGGTCGAAATAAAATAGTTCTGAAACTGCTCACGACAAGGTCTGTGGATTATCTTGAGTAACTGGGTCATGATTTCTGGAGAGAGACATTGCTGTTGAGTTTTCCAAATGTATTTTTATGGCCCTTTGACCATCACAAGCGGAGTGCCATCTAGTTCCATTATATTAGAGAGAAGGTAGACATCTCTATGGCTGATATCTCCAACACTCAGCACCTCACACCAAAACAATCTAGACCAATAAAAAGCACTACAGGTAAGAGGAAAAATATGTATTTTTGATTTTTGGACGAACTGTCCCTTTAATTTCATACTTCAATACACTTGTCTTCAAAACTTTTTACTCCAAGTGAATTTAAAAAGTGCACTTTTTGCACCATATACAAATACATTGTCACTGAAACACTGAAAACTTTTAGTAAACATTTGTTATAATGTCTTTTTTCCTCAGCTGGACTGGACACAGACAAAGTTGAAGCAGCTGAGACAAACTGAAACTAAATCAGAGACAGACATTTAAATAGAATCAGGTTTACGGGATATGGAACCAGGTACACGATATCAAAGACGCAGACCAACAGTGAGTTTTTCTCACGACAGGAGATAATGACAGTTTCCGGACTGAGGTTAAAAAGCTGCAAAACCTTAAAGTGACTGGAGAATGAAACTAGGTTAGGAGTTCCTGCACTGCAGTCATGAGACAAGTGTGAAAACGATGTGTGTGACGCAGTCGAATCCATCACTGACGGTCATAGTTTTACTTTTGTTCCATTGATATTTATAAATTAGGTCGACAACTGTGGCTCAGATAAATAAATGGTGCTCAGTCGGCTGCTCGGACAACAAAGGGAAGGAAGAGAAGTACATAACAGAAACCACAGTGTCAATAACAGCTCTTACTTATGTCTCTGGTCTGGGTGTTGTGGGTTTTACTCTGTGCTGCTCACTCTTGCTCATAATATTGGTGGTAACAGTGTGAAATAATAATGGCTTATTTTCCTTGAGCCTTACTACAAGAAAGTATAGACTGAATCAAATATAATATGTAACAGAACAAACTTGTTCTTGCTACACGCTATTGTAGGGAATGAAAACTGTGGTTTGCACTGACATTTTACCACCTTACAAACATAGCTACACTACAACCATACAACCAAAAAACTGATTCATGCCTTTATTCCAAGTTGCCCTGACTTCTATAAAGCACTTTTTACTGGCCTCAAAAAGGGAAAAAAAAAAACACACAGAGACTTCAGCTCATTAAAAACTCTGCAGCTCGGCTATTAACCAAGAGGACAGAGCACATTACTCCAGTTTTAGTTGCTCTGCACCGACTCCCTGTTACATTTAGAATTGATTTTAAGGTCCTCCTCCTCATATCCAAAGCCCTGAATGGACTCGGACACGGGTCATCACCTAGATTTGTCCAAGGGCTGGAATTTTTCAAAGCAGACACAGTCAGAGCTGGACTTTTTACAACGGGGGAACACACTGGGTGTTATAGGTGTTATGTGTCTCTTTTGGGTCATTTTGACTCTCTATGTGGTTGCTTTGTGCCTCTGCAGCTGCTTTGTGTGTCTTGGTGACCATTTTGTATTAGTTTTGTGTTTCTTTGGGATCATTTTGAGGCTCTTCCTGATTGGGGTCAAGGAGGTTAGAAAGAGAAGAGGTATGACACATGCGCAGTAAAGTCTGGTCTGCATATTCTAGACAGAAAATAAAGATATGGGTAAGAGTTACAATTTCTGAAAAATCCCCTAATAAAAGACCATACAGAAATGGACACCATCCATCGGAGCAAACCAAAAAGTTCTGTCAGGCAGAGCGCACCCAAGGAGGCTAAACAGAGTGCACCCATAAAACACCTGAGCGGACACCCTCCTGTTATTTGTTATTTGTTGTGTTGTACTTGATTTTATGATTCATTTTTTTTTGCTGATTCTGAGCTATGACACACTCTATATACTCTATACTCTATTTTTATCTTGAGTTTTGTCTTTCTTTTTATTTAAATGTCCTTTATATCAAATTGCCTTTTTGGCCTCTGTTATATCCATCTGGTCTATTTCTATGTTGTGAGGCAATCAGTGCATATGCTTTTCCTTTTGAAAAGCACTTGTATTTCTTGTATGAAAGGTGCTATAAAAATAAGCAATATCATCATTATTGTTAATGTATGAGGCCTACCAGCAGAGGGAGTAGTAGACACATACTTGCACCATATGACCTGTAATCTCTTCATGTACTGATGCTCCTGGTATCAATACATGCATCACTCATCATTGTGACATTTTTAACTACAATGGGCATTTTAAAAGATTTAAAATATTTAAATACAATATATATAGTGTTTTGTTATGAGTATTTGTGCAGGAAAATTGGGGGAATTGTGATATAAAAATAGATTAATATTGTTTAAATATTGCGCAGCAGCACTATCATTAACAAAATATAAAAAGTTAAATATAGTAGTAGTAATAATAATAATAATAATAATAATAATAATAATAATGATAACAATAATAATAAAACGTACCTCTCGTGATCCATGGTATGTCATACACCTTTAGTTCAGCTGTAAATGAAAGGAGAGAGTGCAGTCATATATGTCACTGTATGCCTAGACAATCATGAAATGCATGGAGAAATACAGGATGCTTCATCCACAGTGTACTGTGTAAGTTTATTTAGTGATGTATTCATGGACGACTACCTACACAGTAACCCAGGGTTGTATTCAAGGAAGGAATACTTCTGGAAACCCATGTTCTGGAGAGAGCAGAGAAAATACTTATTCCATCGTGTGAACTCATCCATTCAAACATCAGAGGAGGAAATGTGTTTTGAAAAGGCACATCTGTCTTTTTGCATTTCCTCTGAAAGCTTTGAAGCCTCAAGCCAAAGCATGACCCAGATATACAGTCAAACTTGTCTCACAGCACTCAGACGCTCTGCCGAACTATTCCGCTCTCTACACCGCCCCTTCCTGAAACATCACAATGTCCTTGCTCACATACTGTTATATTTAATTCAAAGACCAAAAGCGAGCACACAACTATCACATGGTTCTGCGGATATTTTGCAACACAAATCAACACTTCTTGGAATTTTGACAAGATGCAAAACAATAAAAATTGCAAATTGCTTTTTAAAATCCTAAACTCGAGCGTGTACTGTCACGCCGAAATACAGAACTAAATGAACACATTTCAGACTAACTTAAAATAAACATGAACTTGCATGTTTATTCCATGAATAAAAAAGACATGCTGACTCACCTTCATGGCTATAAGGAGACTGAACTTCACCTATGACCCTCATGTCATGTGATGCACGTCAATGTCCACACCCTGAGCAGCTTCAACCTAAAACAGACAAAAAATACAGACTCAGTTTGCCTTGTTTTTGTTTAGTGTGTGACTCTTTGTATTCATTTTGTGTCTCTCTTTGGTTGTTTTGTCCCTTTTTGTAGATATTTTGTGCCTCTTTGATGTAATTTTGAGTCTTTTTTGGTTGTTCTGTGTCTCTTCTCTGCCATTTTTGTCTCTCAGATAATTTCATGTATTTTTTGGTCATTTTGTGTCTCTTTGTAGTTTTTTTTTAAATATAATTTTGTTTCTTTCTGGATGTTTTACATCTTTTTGTCTTTCTTTTAGGTAATTTTTTTGTTTTTTTGCTTTGTCTTTCTTTGAGGTAATATTGTGGGCTTTTTTGGTCATTTTCTGTCTCTTTGGGGTATTTTGTGTCTTTTTTGGTTGTTCCGTGTCTTTTTGTAGTCACACTGTGTCTCTCGGATGTAACTTTTGAGTCATTTTTGGTTGTTTTGTGTCTCCTCACGGTCATTTTGTGTCTCTTTCAGATAATTTTATATCTTTTTTGGTCATTTTGTGTCTCTTTGTAGTCATTCTATGTTTGTTTGATTTTTCAAAATATAAATTTGCATCTTTGTGGATGTTTAGTGTCTCTTTGTGGTCATTTTGTAGCTATATTTGTAGCTAGCAGCTAGATAGATGGATGCACTTTTTTATCGCCAATTAGGAAATGCTTTCTTTACAGCAGCAGTTTACAATTAAAAGCAGTAAAAAAAATATACAAACCACATACAGAGAAAAACATATCACTGGAGAAAAAAACCTCAACATACTCAGTCTTTTTCTTTGAAGCCATTTTGCGATTTTCTTTTAGGTTTTTTTTTTATTTATTTTTTATTTATCTTTGAGGTACATTTGTGTCATTTTTTGGTTCTGTGTCTCTCTGAAGTTATTTTGTGTCTCTTTCCAGTTCCTTTGCATCTCTGTGTGGTCTTTCTGTGTCTCTTCCTGGTCCATACATGTTAATTTGAGGGACATTTTGCAGGTGAAGGCCAGGGGGGTCCCTGACACTTTGGGCCCCTGGGCCTGTACCTTGTGGGCCTGTTCAGTAATCCATTCATGCATACGGCTGACAAAAGCAAGGCCTTTCAATATCAGGCATCCAGGGCTTTTTAAAGATGTCAAACAAGGACATTTTTGGAATAAATCTGGGTAAAATGGGCAAAATGTAAGATATCAAAGTCTTTTTACATCATATTTAACGAACACACTAAAAAGTGATCAACTTGTCCATTAAAAGAAACACAGAACATGAAGTCAAGATTATAAACTACAACTCTCTTTTATTTCAACCTCAAAATAACGCTGGTTTAGTTCTTCCAAGCTATTTCATAAATATCAGCTCACAGATGCTCTGCCCAGATTATCTTGCACATGCGCACAGTGTCCACCAGGTGGCGCCAGGTGGCCAGAATTTATTTTGCTGTGGCTCAAAGGCTGCTGGGAAATTTATCTTTCAGGAAGCACCATGAGCTGCTAAACAAGTTGACTACACGCCGGTAAATGTTTGCTAATGAGAAGAATTCCGCCTGTAAATATACTTTAAATGTTGCATGTATTAACTGTGTGTTTAGTAGCGCGGTGTTCAGCGTCCATTTTTGTTTTCAAGATGTCAGCTCGTGCCTCCCGAACCGGTGAAGTTAGCTTAACTGTTGTATTTAAGAGCTGCATGATAACTCACCAAAAGTAGATATTGTTTAGCAGACTCGTCATTTGTTATTTGTTTATAGTAGTTGCTGTTTGTCTTTCAGGAGTAGCAGGTTGACGGGACTAACGGGGCGAACTGAGTTAGCACTGAACTGCAAGCATCTTCAATCATGGTAAGGAAGCCGAGAAGGTGAAATATTGACGTTTTTAAACCTGCATATTCCTCATTAAATGTGTGCTGGGCTTCATGTTGGAGTAACCAGGGGTGGATGGAGTACCTAAAAGCTACACTTGAGTAAAAGTACAAATATCTTAGGATAATATGACATTTCCAAACAGTTTATATCTTGTATTTTTTAATATTTTGACTGAGCCATAGTTGACCAAAGTACCGTACAATAAAAGTAAAATAACATAACATGGTAACAGCAAAACGTAAGAGAAATAACATAACAAAGCCAAAAACATGCACAAATAAGCAAGTAAAAAATAAAATGGCACAGAATGGTAAGATGTAAAAATATAATATGAAAGATAAAAGAGAAACCTTAGCACTTTTAGTTAATTTTGAGTCACTCTTGTAGTTACCTGAGTTCTGTTCTTACTCTTTTAGGCACTAGTTTTTGTTTTTGCTCCGTAAACAGTTTATATCCTGTACATTTTTAATATTTTGACTTAATACTCTAGTGTTTTAAAAAAAGTGGGCTCAGTGTGTGACCCTGACCTGGGGAACCCACTGGTTGTTACTGGTTTGTGAACATAAATTGTTGTCACTGTATTTTGTGTTACCGTAACTGAAGCATTCTCTGGCACAAAAATTTCCTTCAGGATAAACAAAGTTTTATTGAAGTGAATTGAATTAAAGTCAGCTGGTCGAATATTACTCGAGCAAAAGTCTTAAAGTATCTGATATTTACTGGACTTAAGTATCAAAAGTAATTTTATAGAAATGTACTCAAGTATTGAAAGTAAAAGTACAAGCAAGAACTGTGAATAAAAAAGCAAGCGGACAGAATTTTTACAATTATGAAGTTTATTTCTTCTTGAGATATACCCATACAGTACACCACCTTAAAAATGGAGCGCACATCACACTTAGAGAAAACCACTGATAGTAACGCAGCCCTGTCATAATCCTCAATGAATGCAACATAAGAGCAGCAGATCCACATTTACTAAGACCTTTAAGAATCTTTCGTCCACACAAAAATTTAGGTAAGATAAGATGAAAGAGACTTTATTAATCCCACTCAGAGGAAATTCACAGAGGGACATATTAATTATGTTAATTTATTATGCTGATCTGTTCTGTACGACATCTATTGCACGTCTGTCCGTCCTGGAAGAGGGATCCCTCCTCAGTTGCTCTTCCTGAGGTTTCTACCGTTTTTTTTCCCCGTTAAAGGGGTTTTTTTGGGGAGTCTTTCCTTATCCGCTGCAAGGGTCATAAGGACAGAGGGATGTCGTATGCTGTAAAGCCCTGTGAGGCAAATTGAGATTTGTGATATTGGGCTATATAAGTAAAATTGATTGATTGATTGATTGACATATGTCCTTGTCCCAAAATTTTTTGGAACGTGTTGTAGGAATCTAACCCAGAGTCACTTTATATGCACAAAAATCAATAAAGTTTATCAATTTGAACATTAAATATCTTGCCTTTGTACTGCATTGAACTAATCCAACAGCAAACTTAATTATTTTTGGTCTTTTAAGTACAACTTCACTGCATGTTGTGCCCAGTGCATCCTTTGAATTACTATAAAACTGTCAGATTTTTGATGAAAAGACTGAATAATATGAAACTAAGGATCAAAACATGTTCTGATCTTTCTCATTTCCAGGAGGACATAACCACTGAGATGTCCTGGTTCTCCAGCCCCGTGTACAGCCGCTACTGGCAGCACTACCAGCAGGCCATGGCCTGGCACCAGAGACACAGGCGAGCCTACAGAAAGGCCTTGGAGGCCGCCTACGGCCATGCCTACAGCCAGGAGCAGTGTCCCGGCAGCCACCAGCAGCGCTACGCAGACTGGAACGCAGGAGAGGGCGACAGCGAAGATGGAGAGGACGGGGACGAGGAGAGCAGCTCGGACAGCGAGATCGAGTGTGACGTAAGCAACATGGAGATCAGCGAGGAGCTTCGGCAGTACTTCGCCCAGACGGAGAAACACAGGGAGGAGCTGAGTACGTTTATTTGATGAGTAGAGTCTCCAAAGTTCTCCCATGTCCATCACTTGTTGGGGATGCACACTTGTAATCAAATATGATAAGTTTAATTTAAATAATAAGGTGAGACTGTCTGCTATGTGTCTAAAAATAATCTTCTCCCTGCAGAGAAGCAGCAGCAGATGGAGGCTGAGCAGCAGGACAGCTACGTGCCGGCCGACCAGGACCTGCGAGGTGTCTCCTGGCGAAGCAGCGTGGCTCCTCCCTCGGAGCGCCCCGGCGAGAGACGGGGGGCTGAGATGAAGAAGCTGTATGGCAAAGACGCTGCCAAGATCCTGGCCATGGAGGCGGCGATGCAGCTAAATTTCGACAGAAACTGTGACCTCAAACAGCCCAAGTACTGGCCCGTCATCCCACTGAAACTGTGATGGCTGCGGGCTGTAAACTGTTTGATTTGGAGGAAATCCCTGCTCTGATCTCTCGGTGAGACAGCAGCTTTGTCGTGTAATGGGTTGTGTCTGTCGACGCTGCTGATGTAGAACTAATGGCATGGGTTAGCTGAGGGTTACAAGTTATTTTAAGCACAAAAAGTCACAGAAATTAGCCTCTGCTTAGCCAGACGCGAATGTCACTGACCTGTCAGCTGCTGCTCTAAATGAAAACTTATGATTTTGATGCTTCACATAATGTTGGAGTTTTTTGTGGCTTTACACTTGTGCATAAATTATTTTTAACTCAGGATGATGCACTACGTAATATCCAAGAGATGCACGGTTTGTGTGTTGTCCTCCGATGATTTCAGGACAAAAACAGAAACAAGAATACAAACTGGAGTCAGCCGCAGTTCACATACAGTAAAACAGCTCCTGTAGGTGATGTAAATATATTCAAACAACATGTGCCTGCGTGTTTCCTCCTAATCTGTTTCTGTTTACCCTCTAGCTTGGTGATGTTACATGCTGCAGTAGCTCCTCTTATGCCTGTCAACTCAGTTTAACCACAAAAACATTTTCAGGCCCCTTTTTTTTCCCTCTGTTCAAAATTTCGAAGCGTTCCCGCATGGCTGCTTCTGATATTCCACTCTTCAACATACACGGAGAGTGATTTGTTGTTGTTGCTTCTAAACTGTGCCTCTCTGATTCTGATTTCATCGGCTTCAAAGCCATTCGTGTGGTTCCTCAGGAGGGACGTTGAGTATTCTCTTTTATCTTGTGCTTGCACCACCCAGCCCCCTTTTTTTTAGACTAAAGGATGTGTGTTTTAATATAAATTCTGTTTATAATAAAGTGTTTTCTGTTTGTATAAAACCTGATTTGCCATTGGTGATTTCTTTATATAGCTCTCTGTGTGGTGGGCGTGAGGATCTTGATTACCAATACAGCAATGTGTTATGTCCAAGAAACCAGTTTGAGATGATTTGAGCTTTGTGACATGGTGTATTAACCTGCTGGAAGTAGCCATCAGAAGATGGATACACTGTGGTCATAAAGGGATGGACACGGTCAGCAACAATACTCAGGTAGGCTGTGGTGTTTAAACCATGCTCAGTTGGTATTAAGGGGCCCAAAGTGTGCCAAGAAAATATCCCCCACACCATTACACCACCACCTGACAGGAGTAGCACCTGGTGTTGTCTTCTGCTGCTGTAGCCCATCTGCTTCAAGGTTGGACGTGTTGTTGGTTCAGAGATGGTCTTCTGCATACCTTGGTTGTAACGAGTGGTTATTTGAGTTACTGTTGCCTTTCTATCACCTTGAACCAGTCTGGCCATTCTCCTCTGACCTCTGGCATCAACAAGGCATTTTCACCCAGAGAACTGCTGCTCACTGGATATTTTCTCTCCTTCGGACCATCCTCTGTAAACCCTAGAGATGGTTGTGCGTGAAAATCCCAGTAGATCAGCAGTTTCTGAAATACTGGCACCAACAACCATGCCATGTTCAAAGTCACTTAAATCACCTTTCTTCCCCATTCTGATGCTCGGTCCCTCCGATTCCAAAACGGGACGTCCAGTTGTTTGTATGCAGCCCCCCTCTGAACAACCTGTGGACATCACCAGAGACTTCTGCCACTCTTTGTCTCAGGGCCAGTCTCCACCGCAGCTCAGCAATGGGTAGGTGAACTGTCTTCTACATGTCTGCTCACTTTCGTTTCAGTAGCTGTGAAAGAACACCGGGTCACTTTTATTTCTGTGTCTTCGCTTCTTCTTTCTGTGTTGTTTTGGATGCTCCAGTCCTCCAGCTGCAGCTGCAGGGACCTTTCTGCTTGCGCGCGTGATGATGCAGCGTGTTGGACTCTAATTTGCATGTCTGATAATCAGTTTAAAGGCTCAAAGGAAAACTATCAGTCTGTTAACTTTCACCGCTTCACTCTGAATCTCTTGCAGCCTTTTGTCAGTGTGCAGCAACACTATGTTTTTTGGGAAGATCTCACCTCTATACTGTTAGTTGTAGACATCATGGGTCAGTTATACATAAATCCAGTCCTGCAGTGACACTCCAGACTTTGGGGATATTTTCAGGCAAACTTCTCCTGATGGAAGGTAAAATGTGAGCTCGCCTGACTGCATCCTTCCCACGTCAACTCCTCATGTGAGAGTTGATGTTGATTGGATTAAGAGGGAATGATCCGCTCCTTTGCTGTGGATTAAACAGGCTGGACAAGGTTGAAACACGGAAGACAATGCCTGGCGTGTACAGGAGATGTGGAGGCATGCTGCAGGAAGTGCACATTTGTTTTTGGTTTTATAGGCTTTATTCAATCAGGTAATGTCATTACGTTTAAGATCTCTTTTGCAAGAGAGGCATGAGGGTACAGCAGGGAAAATAACACACACACAAGCACATAGTGTAAAAACAGCATCAGATACAATAAGACCTCTATAAAAAGGCTTTAAATTAAAGGTAGAAATCTAGCTAGTTAATGGGATCAGACTTTCAAGTTTTAGTGTCCATTTGTTTGTTTGTAGGTGCTGGAAGTCTTCAGGGCAC